TTTTTTTTGTATTGATGGGACTTTCTTACTTTCATATGTATCCAGCTAGCTAAAGACTGATGTAAATTAGCTAGTCATTTAGCTTCCATTTCACTAATGTTAACTGGTATATGTAACTAGCAAGCTAAAAATGGAAATTAGCTCATTAGTTATCTTTGTTTTTATTAAAACCAACTTTCAAATGTAACTAGCTAGTTGACCATTTATGTAAATTAGCTAGTCATTTAACCTTTTGCAGGAAAGAAGAATGTTTCGAAGCCACCAGGAATAGTGCTGGGGCGAAGACTGTTTGACATACTGGAAAAAACTTATTACAGTAATGTCGTCCATCACATGATGCACACTGGCCTATAAACTTACATTGTAAAAGAAGCTGTTGTGAAACTGTTGAAAGTTGTTGTTTTCTTCATTACAACCTCCACAAAATGACTGGTTTCACTATCAGAATTTGATGTATTCAGTCCGGTAATATTTACGAATGAAAGTTCCTCAACTCACATGGCAGGTGTACTTTTAAGATATATAGATTGAATGTAATCAGAAATAAAATTAGAGTTTTAGTTTTGTTAGACTGTATTTACTGCACTCTCTGTCTGCAAGAATATATATTTAAGCACATAGGCTCCTGTACCTGATGTGACACATTTGGCTAGATAGTCAAAAACAAAAGGCCTCATTTCTCTGTTAGTGTCAGTGTAGTTACTGTGGTTAGCCTCTGAAGGACAGTATAGGCCTACAACAATCCCATCTCCAGTTTAGCAGTTTTGTGTTGGTTTTTCCACCCAGCTGTACATTGTTGGCCCTCCTCCTCCTCGTCCTTACAGCTCAGCCCCCTGCTTTAAAGTAACAAACACTAAATGCACTTTTTATTGACAAATTGTCATTTATTTTGCATTTATTTCTATAAAAAAGAGACAATATAATGTCCTTTATAGAAACAATATTCTCTTGTGCCTTTTTCCATTATTGGTCATCATTTATTTTTGTAACATTTAGGAGGATCTATTGTCAAAAATGGAATAGAACAGTCATTAGTTTAGTTTAGTTTGTTTAATCACCTAAAAAATAAGAATCATTTTATTTTTGTCACCTTAGAATGAGACGTTTTCATCTACAGAAGGAATGGGTCCTGTTCTACAAATCCTAAAAACATATCTTAATAAAAGAAGTAAGCTAACTTAATTTAATCCTCCAAATGAATTCACTTGAATTAACCCTAACTTTAAAATTAATTGTTAAATAAATAACTGTTTTGAGTTAACTTTAATATGTGCAGTATTAAAAGTATTGGTAATATATTTCCAGTGGTTCCACCACTAGATGGCACTAAATCTTACAGACTGGTACTTTAAGACTCATCTACATAGTTTACTTCCTGCCTCTTCAGTCTTTACACCTTATCTTCATGTTGAAGTGCTCGTACTCCTTCATTTCCTCTTCTTTCCTGTTCAGTGCCTTTGTTCTTCATTTTCTTCTTTCTGTTCGTCACTTCTGTCTTTCCCACTCAGTCACCATCCTCTTCTCCCCTCAAAGCATTGCGGAGGCTCCTCCAGAACTCCCCAGTCCTCTCCTCCTCCTGAGGCCACTCTAGGTAGGTGGTGGACCCCATGAGTTTGCGCAGTTTGTAGAAGCGTTTAGGGATGTCGTCCTTGGACAGCGGTTCCAGCAGGATCAAGATGGCTGCGTCCCTGCCGGCATGTCCATCAAATAGCCAGAAGTGGGAGAAGTCCAGCTCATAGCGACACCAGTCGGACTGGACAAAATTCTCAGAAAGGATGAAGACAGTCCGCCGGCTGCGCTCCATGGCGCTCATGATGTTGTCCACAATCCAGTGTCCAGGAAGGAAGTCCCGCTTGTGGAGGCACAGGGTCAGAGGCTGGGGTCTTCTGTGATTCACTGAGTCTTCATCAATCTCACTGTAGGAATATAAATCAGAGAGCAGGTCACCACAGAAGCACATAGCACTGACAAGTTTTTTATTTATTTTTTTTGCACAACTGAACATGAATGCATTATTCTTCTAGATTTAAATAATACTCACTTTAAAGAGAATTTTCCCTTAAAATTTTGAAACCATACATCTTTACTAGTCATTAGATTCAGCAAAATACTGAACTATTTTCATTGGTCAGACAATGCCCACTGAGAAATCACCAGTTCAGTTTACTACAGTTAAAAGGCACTTAAAATGAGGTAAAAACGGTAATATCGATCAGTATTTGCTGCAGGCTTTAGCAGGCTTTTTTTGAAGTTGTTGCTGCCTAAAATGCAAACGATTTCACAGCAGCTTTTCTAAAAAACTACGATGCATGTTGCAATGTTTTTAGGATAATGTTGTGATCTTTGGGCAACCGGTTAGCTCAGTCGGTAGATCTGGCGACCCATGTACCGAGTTGCCGCAGGTCGGATTCAAACCCTGGGCCGCTTCAGCTAAAGTCAATAAAAGGACAAAAAAATAACTAAAAAAAATAAAATGTTGTGATCTTTGGCCTGTGGCCTTACTTTCAGCCACTTCTTACTGAAATACTGAAATCTGGTAAGTAGCCTTTGAGTTATCCTAGTAATTAATACATGTATAGACAAACTGTAAAGAAAATCGAATAATTATACTAATATAACGAAGAGTTTGGACGTTACCTTGGCTCTTCTAGCTCAGGTACCAAGAAGTTTTCCACCCAGCTAGCGTCTCTCTCACTGTAGGAGACGAAGGCGTCAAAGGATAGCAACGCCTCTGAATCTCCTCTGTCTCTGTGTCGCCGGGAGCTACGCTTGGCCTTTAGCCATGCCCACGTCATCTTCAGGTACCACAACGCATGGAGGTGCCGCAGCAGTATACACACCAGAATGGCAACAAACAGCGCCACCCCACAGCTCACAGACACAAACAAAACACGGTGGCACTCGACAACGGAGAGACGGACTTGACCCACTGGTTCCCCCTGCAGGTAGAGGGGAGAGTCGCAGACATAGCTCTCCTCTTCATCTGTTAAATATACGTCTCCATGTCCTTTAATGACCGACTGGAGGAAAGCAACAAAGTCACAGGAGCAGACGAATTTGTTCTGACCCACCTGGAGGTTCTGGAGTCGTCTGTACAGCTGGAGGTCTGTCCGGTTGAACATGTTCAAGGTGTTTGACTGTCGAGAACAAGGAAGGTTCACAGTGAGAAATACAAAGAAGATTGTAAAAAGAAATATGAGATGTGACTTTTCCTTACCTGTATTTTCAGTGTTTGCAGATTAGGGAACAACTCTCCACTCGGCAGACTCAGAAACTTGTTCCCAGAGAGGTAGAGCTCTCTCAGGGCAGGCAGGACCACATAGAAGTTTTTGAGATCATTGTTGCTTAAATCCAACACCTGTACATGGTAAAGTAGAAGGGAATGGTGGTTTATCAGTTAGTGTTTCTGTTGTGATGGTGTCAAGTCTGTCAGGATTACAGCCACATGGTCCACTCTCAGTACCTCCAGAGTTGTGGGTAGACAGGGGGTGATGGTTGTAAGTTTAGCCCTGGAGATGTTGAGGTAACGCAGAGTGTGGGGCCAGGAGCAGGACAGGGGCATGGAGCTATATCCGTTCCTGCTAATGTCCAGGTGGGTCAGTTTGGACAGTTTCACTACCAGCCATCTCACCATGGACAAAGACTGGAAAACAGAGAGACAGCAAAGTGTTCAGTTCAGTCTTATTTGTTTTCCTGCTAATTTGACTTCTTTGTAGAAAATTGTCACCATAACCGATACAATGAATGGAAAATCTACAACAATAACTTCCTTTAAATTTGACGAAAGCACCTTCAGAGCATTTCCGCTGATGTTTAAAACTCGAAGGTCTGTAAGCGGGCTGTGTCCTCCGCACAGTGTCTCCTTCAGAGTCATGTCAGTCAGCAGGTTGTCGGACAGGTCCAGGTACTGAAGGTTCTTTAGCAGGCCAGACGTTTGACAGGGCATCACATACGCCTGAGGGTAAAAGTCAGCTGTTGCTAATGAAACTCTTGAGAGTTGGAATAAAATGCAGTGTTCCATGATTCACTCAAGGATTCATTAATTAATTTTGCTAATAAGAAGACTAATTGCCTGAGTCATTTGCATGTCCTCACAAAACAGATGGTGTTGGAAATTTGGCAACATATCTGGTACAGTTTTAGAATGTTTTTTGTCTTACGGATTCAAATTGGAGGTTCTGT